CTTGCCCCCGCCCCCGCCCCCGCCCCCGATTTTTTTTAAAAAAATGTCCCCAAACGGGACGGGGCCCCCACAGGAACGAGGTCCCACGAGACTTTTTGACAACCCTAAATAGAAAGTTAGTAGAGACCCTTAAATTGCCAAAACTATAAATTAAAAACAAGGACTCAAAATGTTAAATAAGCAAAGCGGATGAAAAAAAAATAGATATAATGAATAAGTAAGAAACAACCCGCCCGGGATGGTTTTTTTTTTTTTTTTTTTGAAAAGTTTGATACCAATTTATGCTAGATCGTTCAATTTATGCCCTTTAATTAAAAAATTCAAAATGCTGTTATAAACAATGCATACGAGTGTTTACAAGTGTTGGTTTAGGTCGGAATACTATAAATCAAACTGAACTGAAATTAAAAATCAATAAATGAACCATTTTAATGTTCCTTTACAATTGGAACATTCTCTTCTTTTATATTCATCTTTTAAATGACCATCTATCTTCCATCTGTCAATATCGCTACCAGAACTACTAGCATCTTCTCTATCTGACTCAAACCATCCAGGGAAGAAGTTTTATCAAAATTTAAACAACACGGTGGCAGTTGAGAGATCAAAAAACCTTAAGAAATCTATGATACCTGAGAAATCAACCGATAATGATCCTTGTAGCGGAAAAATGAGTGCCTATGTACATGAAGAGTGAGATCTGTCAATGCATTCGACGAGATATAGGAGATGATGGCTCAAATAGGGCAAGGCGGAAGTGATGACGAGAGGGCAGACCCTTGGTGACTCCCGTCGTTTTCAATTTGTTAGCACTTTATGATTTTAGTCGACAAAAATAATCCCATAATTTTCGTTGAAGGGTTACCGGCGTTTGGGAATCAATTTTAAACATTTAATGAGATAGAAGTCAAAGTGTCAAACTAGATGACTAGGCAAGGGTCACCTGATGACCCCTTCAATTTATGGATAATGGTTTTTTTAACATGTAAAATTACACTTTAAACACCTAAACTACTAAAAAAAGATAAGGAACCTTTTAAAATAAAAACTAAGAATTTATAGGGCTACAATGTCATTTTCTCTTATTCAGAATAACTAAAGTAATGAACTAAAAGTCACTTGCATCCCATAGAAAGCTTTGATGAGTGATCTTATTCAATGAGATGGTCTGGGCAAGAAAGTGACACATATATTAGGCTAAGCTAAATGAAATTAATTAAAAAAGGGAAGAATGGAAAAAGCTAGAGATCGATAAAAAAAAGTGATATGGATATTGATGAATAGCTGAGTGTCATACGTTAATAGGAAAAACACAACTTATATCACATGAAACAACTATCAGGCATTAAACAAATGTATGTAAGTTCGTATCACTCTTTCTTTTGCAGTCAAGCTTCTCAGTAAAATCGAACAGTACCTTTTCGTTGATCTGAATGTTCTTTTTAATTGACTTAGGTTGCTGAAGGAGAAAAAAAAAAGAAAAATGCATTCAAATCATCACCTTTTGAACAACTCAACAACATGGTTTAACTGAAAAGGTAGGTCAAAAACATACACCCTCTTTTGTAATTAACTTGTGCAATCTTTGTGTTTGCATCAGCTAAACTGGTCTGAGTTTAAGTTTTATTTGTTTATTCTCTTCAAAAATTTCACGTAAAGCCTTCTGAAGTTGCACGAATGAATGTCATGAAAACTTGCTTTATATAAAATGTATGATAACTATATAGATTTACAGTATGAAGTATAAACATAGCAAAAGGATTACATCAGCCAGACATTTATCAGCTCACCTTTCAACTCCAAACACATCCATCAAATAATCAGCCTCCTCCAGTTTAATAACTTCTTGTATCTCTGACAATGCTTCTCTAAGTTCCTCAACAAATTGTACACAAAACTTTGAAATTTCACACAAATGGAAAGATAATGGTGAATATCATAGTATAAACAAGTATAACCATCGACAACATGCGATGTGGTAGACGGGGTCCTCCCTCACTTTCCGTCTCTCCCCAAACCAAAGTACCTGATGACAGTTGGGGTCGATGGTTATACATGTTGCAGCAACAACAATCAATCGCAATAAGAGAGTGCAATACCGATGCTTCAAACGACATGATGCAATTGTCGACTATAGAAAAAAAAAACCTTTGATTTTGATATGAAATGAAGTAACAAACAACAAACCTGAGGTTATCTTCATGTCCCGACTAAGTTCTTCGCTTTAGTATTGAAAACACTTGACAACCGAAAATTGAACTTGGAACCACCTTGCTCATGGAGGTTGGGTTCCTTCAACACAGAGGTCGAAATCAAACAGCGCCATCGACAGAGCAAAAAAGGGACATACCTTAAATCGACATACCCGACCTCTTTTGGTAACGATTGGAAGAGTAAGTACGCATAATGGAATCAGATAAGCAAAAAGAGAGGGTCATCACCTCTAATCGTGTAGGGTCGGGGTCAGGAGGTTAAAGAAGACGCAAGAAAGGAATTAACAAAAGTTAGCAATTCGGATTGATAAGAAAGAGTGGTGATACATCAAACAATTGAAGTGTTTATGTGGAATGATAAGAAATTAATACCGCAGACGATTATAGAAGACAAGAATTGGAGGAGTCTCACCAACCGATATCTACGGGATCTCAAATGTTACCTCCGACAGGTTGCCGATAAATAAGAAGCGCAACATAGAAGACGCAGATGGCTCTTTGATTCACTGAAGACAAAGTGGAAACGACGATGGGAGAGCAAAATGGAAGCTGCGAAAGGAACTGCATGTAGAAGAGCAGTGGGGAAGGATCTGGAGGCGGTCACCATAATAGAGTTAGATAACTTGATGAACAGTGGTGGAATTAGGTAATGTTCCTAACTCTACCCTCATTTTATATATATATATATATATATATATATATATATATATATATATATATATTATTAAACATATTGCTTATTTCTTGAAAATTAAGAAGTACAATATCTATTACGTGATGTACAATAATATTAAGCTTATAATCACATTATACACGGTATTACCTTGTTGTTACCCTAATCACACACTAACACTAGACACAACAGTCGCCATCAGAAGAAAATCGAACCCCTCTTCTTTGCGTCTCCTTCCTAATCGCTTCAGAATCGATCGATACTAACCAAAAAATCGCAGTGTCTCCTCTTCTCTATCGACGCCCTGGAAGTCCACCAACCATTCACAACCCAAACACCTACATGTATATTACAGTATTACACGCAGTTACCCTAATCTCCTCTACACAACAACCAATCTCTACCGTCTCTCTCTTGGCGTCGTTGTTGAATGTCTCAGCGCCTCCACCGTCGCCACCTGACTCCGGCAACATCACACACCAACATCACGTTCAACCACCATCTGGTCCGGCAACATTACAACCCACCTCCGCCTCTGTCGTAGCTCGCGATCAGGTGCTCCCAAAAGTAATTTCTATCTGTAAACATTTTTTGTGGATGTTTGGTTTCTCTAATGAATATTTTGTGTGGGTTTGTGGGAAGAGCACCACGATCTAAACGCACACACACCCCTAATTTGAACACTGATATTGATTATCCATTCAACACCTCTTCATTTCATTTGGTTTTGAATCTAGGGCAATTGTTTCTCGATCGTTGATTGTATGTTACATACATATCAATTTAGGTAACACTTGTTTATCGTTGCTTCTTTATCCATTGCCACATTAATGGAAGGGATAAAAAAATTGGTTCATCGTCACCAAGATAGATTCCATGTGAGTTTTGTGTCTTTTCTTTACCCTGTTTCTAGCATTTATACTTGTTTGACTCTTTGACTATCCAACAGATGGAGACATTTACAAGTTCAAACAGGGGCTACCAAGCTGAACTCAATGTAGTTACATATTTCCAGAAGATACATGAGATTGAAGAAGACAAGTCAAAGTTCCGAATCCTTCTTGTAAGTTCATTTACAAAATCACATCACATGTAAGGAAATATAGATAATATGTTATGTTGTCTGAGGTTATGATTGGTAGCTGATCTTTTTGACAGATGATTAGTTGTCTTCCAGAGTTTTGGGCAGCATGCACGAGAGCTTATTACATCTGAACTTGCACTCAAGATCCTTTACATCTTAATTGAAGACCAAACTTTACCTAAAAGGAATCCATTCTTGCTCAACAGAACACTCCAAAATACCATTATAAAGGTTTCCTTTTTTCTTTAATATATTTTTTCATTAACAGTTTAACACATAAAACCTTCACATATTTCATGATATATAGATATATTATACTATATTATATTATGTTAATCTCTATTTATCTCTCAGGTGGTGCCAATTGAAAACTTGAATGGACGAAAAAAGGTTGAAGCAGGAGAGCTTTGTGAACGCATAAATGGATAATCAATATCAGTGTTCAAGGTTGGGCCATCATATCTTCGTCTTCTACTTCTGGAGATTTCTTTATCGAATGGTATAACAAAGAGGTTCAATTTATGCTTTACTCATGACTTTGTAAGTTACTAAAGTATACTTCATATATTATGACAAAAGTGGGGTTATTAAAGATTTTTCAGTTTTGGATTTAACCCTCTTGCTTATGCTTGGTTTTTATTGTTAAGCATATCTGTCAGCCTTGAGTACGTACCTGGATATTCGTTGATTTTTAGTATTCATCTAAGCTGTAAAATCCTTGCTGCTACCATCGACCTAATCACTTCTATACATGTAATCGGGTATGGAGAGCTTGTAGGTGCAAGTTTGTTGACTCTTATGTGCAAAAGGAATTGACAGATGGAAAAATGGTCCATTCTCAAAATTAAGCTTAAATCTATATGTATTCAAGCTTATGTTTTTATTTTTTCATTTGTAGTTCTATCTCTCTTTCACTCTCACATAACGTTGTTGATCATTAGGGTTTATATCGCCTCCCTCCTAGATTACATCAAGGTATGTTATCCTTACAAATTTCATCGATGAGTCTTTTATATGTTTTTAATGGAAGATCTCGGAGTCATTTCAATTTTGAATTGAGCCCCTTCTGAAGTTGATTTTGTTTATGGGTAAATACAAGTTTATTTGTGTTATTCAAAGGGCAATACAGATCCAAGTGTGTAGTTTCAACAGGAAGCAAGTTGGAGTCACCCTTTAGAATGTGTAACAAGAATGTTAGAAGTTACAGGGTATAGATGGAACCAGATTTTTGAGGTTGAGCTCTGGTAATGAGATAGTAGTGAACCTACGTTATGCAACCCACTGATGCTCTGTTTTTTCTGTCTCTCTAGCCACATGGGAAGGACATGGGATGCACTGGTGTGATGAACTACAAAGTAAAAGCAAGCATACACATGTGGGATCCAAATATGTCAGATCGATTTGAGTTCAATAGAAATATATCTTTTGGTGAGTATGTTTTTAATCATTGTACTTTTTTCATCAGTTGTATAAATACCTTATTCTGCCCAAAGTAATGGTTCTTGATTATAGTATAATGTCATGTTTGGTTTTCGTTTATTATAGATTGCTGATTTTTTTTTATTATAGATTGCTACTCCTAGGTTATGTTATGTGAAGATGAAAAAGAATGAAATTGGGCAGTTTTGTGTAATATTGTCCATAATAATGAGCTGAAATAATTGTAATATTTTCAAAGCATCATACTTTCAAATATCAAAATAAATTGAAACTAGAACAGTTTGCTATTATTTATTGCTTTTATCCCCTTTTGGGTCAAATGCAAGAACTAGCAATGTACCTTGCAATGTTCA